AAAAAAAAATAGAAGAAAATTCTTCGTATATTTGCGAACTGTTCTTTTTTTCGATATGGAGTAATTCACGATCGGGTTTAAAAGCTTTAATCACTATTGTGATCCGTTAAGTCGTCAGTTCTAAGGCCTAAATAATTAGGCCCGGTGTGATGTGAGCTAAGACTTAAACCAAGTGCCTGGCTAATGGCTTTGCGTAGCTGCTAGTAAGGTCTCCATACATCTGTGGTTTTCGGAGTGCGACAACGTATCGGGCCATACGTACTACTGCCTGACTTCGACGTAGTACTTACGTCATCCAAGTCTATAGTTTCCACCGGCGACGGTGAGCGGCGCGTTGATGTTACCGGTGCTGGCGAAATGGTAGCAGGAGGCACTGAATTACTTTCAGAATCATTCGTATTATGCGATATTAAGGTAACACAGCGTTTTATTAAATTCACACCATGTAGAGAATCGACAGGCGGTGAATTTACTCCCGCCAAACTTGTCGACGGAGTCGTGCTCTCTAAGCTTGTTGGTGCGAGGAGTGCCGAAGTTTGTGCAGGATTTACAGGATTTATATTACGGAACCAAGGAAAGTCATTATAATTACTATAAAGTTGGGTATACAACCATTGACTTGGCTGAGGCAGTAAGGGATTCTGTAAAAATAATTGAGCAGCTAAAGCGGGATTAAATGAAGGCGTTGCTGGTGGGAAATTTGTTGCGAAACCACTAAAGAAATCGTTCTTTCTTAAAGAATTATTTCGCTGAATCAAAGAGGTAAAGGCACCGCCATTGCCAGTATTTGAAGAAGGTGGCGAACTGCTACGGCCATCATCATCTTCATTCACAGAAGATGATTTTCGAGGCGATCCCGTTACCGAAATACTGTCACTTTCGAAACCTGCATCGATATTATTGTTTTCATTATCACTGTTTGTAGTGGTTAAAGGCGGGGATGTAGTCAATGTCGCAGATTGACCGAGACCTACTGAAATAGTGGTGGGAGAACCTTCAGGACTGGTAGTACTATGCGCAGCAACGGAAGACAATTGATTGAGCTGAGAGAGATGAGGATGCGATTCTGAAAAAGGATAAACAAAATAAATTAAATATATTTAAAGGATTCTTTTACAAATTATACTTAACACTTAAATTACCATTCAATCTTGTCAAATTCGGTCTATCCAGGGTCGAACTTCCCAAACTGTGTACACTAAAGGCAGCAGCATGTTGATGATGAAAGAAAGGTGCAGCATTGTGTGCAAATGCGGGACGCCCCAATGCAGCAGCATGACCTCCACTTAGAGTACGCCAATCAGGTGCTTGCAGATGTGTATGCATGCCTACCAAATGATGAGCAAAACCTATATAAAAAGAAAAAAATAAAAAAATAAAAAAAAAAAAATAACAAATAAAGCAAAACCAAAAAAGCAACCGATATTAGTGTAAAATTTTCACCAGACAACACTTAAATATACAGCAACAACGTGAATAAAATAAAGAGAACTAAAGAAAACTAGCCCGACTTGACTCGGCCAGCTAGACAGCCACACCAAAGCCCAATATTTGGCCGCTCATTTTGGTTGTTCCTTCGCCACCATAAGTACCACATATAATAGTGTACATAAATTCATGTGCATGTATATGACGTATATGTATATATATATGATATATTGTGCACCGTTATGCCCTCGCGTCATACCCCCCGCCAACTTACCACACCACCTCCTACTCCCTTGCATATACAGACACTTTATATATATATATATATATATATATATATATAAAAACTTAAAATAACATATAAATCATTATACATATAGGTTCTGTCCCTCATACACTACTACAACCACTACAACTGGAAAAATTGTACAAATGCACATATATAAAAGGTTTTCACATATTCATGAACATACACCCACGTACACTTAATGAACAACATACAATACATATTTTCTGCAATGCATGCCATCTTTTTCTGTTTGCAGTTTTGTACTGTTTTTCTCATTCTTTCCAGTCCCGCACTTGGGCAGAATAGTTTCTAACCGAAAAACGGTAAAAAGTGAAAAAATATTCACTTAAATGTGGCGACACACATATACACATCCACATACATACATGTATACATACAAGCAGAGACACATATGCTGTTTGCAGTCACTCCCCTTTCCAGTAGTTCAGTGCAATCTTAAACGGATGTCTTTTTAGCCATCAACCAGCAAGCCAGCCAACCAACCAACTATTCTTGGTTTACACCAAAAGACGCCATTATTCGGTTGTACTTCACACATACATAAACATATACACATCTATATATATATATATGTATATATATATATATATATATATATGTATCTATATATAAAGTGCAAAATATATATATATATATATATATATATATATAAAGTTTAGCTACAAGTTAGCTAACCTCAAAATTTTATAAATTTTTTATAACATCGATTTCAGCTGGAAAGTTGCTCAGTTATTTTGCAGTTCATATGATTGAACTTATCATAATTGTGGTCAAATTTACGGTTAATAAGCTTTTTTCTTTAAAACCTAACATTAAATGTTCTGATAAGAAAAATGGTCGATTTATTTTTTCATATCGTGTAATATATGTACACATATACATATATATTTGTGTATTGCATTCTTTGAAGGAACGCTACTGTACATTTTCATGGCTTTTTCAGACGACATGGTATACTCTGGATGGAATAGCAAGAGATAGTGACATTCTTCAAAACCATTGTAGACGCGTATAAAATTTTTCACCTTGGTACAAACGTAGATCACAAGAAGACGCCCAAGTCTATAGGAACGATCGAGAGTTAATATTTTCTTCAAAATTAACGAAAGCATTAGCCCAGATCTTTATTGGAACTGGAAGATAAGTATACCGTCAGGGACGGTCAAGGATTCACATTTCCTTGAAAGTTAATGAACGTGAACGGTGCACATGTCTTCAGTCGTGATTTAGCATTCTTTTAAAATGAATGAAGAAACAGACCCCCGATACTAAGGGAAATATGAAGAAAGCGTACAAGAAAACGTACTTGTCTCCAAAGGGAGGGAAGTTGCGAAAACTTATATTCTGAACGTTTTGCCAGACATTAAGTATTGAAATGCTATCAATAAAGAAGCCAACGATTGATTCAGATGTAGGAAGGCAATAAAGGGGCTTAATATGATATTGTCAAGTGTCCGCGTACCTATATAATATTATGATTAAAAAGACTTTTATATTTAAATTTTGACCGTTTTTTTCTCTTAGATTGGCAATACCCCCAACTGACAATCTGTGTTAAATTTCATACCGATATTTTCTTTAGCTAATAAGATACGACTGTTTACATTCATCTGATAGCGAACTCAACGCGATTTTTTTTAGTTTAGTCGGTGTGGAACAATATCTCGAACACGATCTTTACAAATTTCACAAATAATCATTAATCAGGCGGAGATAAGTTAGACGATTACGACATTTGCATAAACAATATAAGTTGAATTTCTGGTGAAGAGGTCTCAAGCCGGTGTGAGATATGCATGAGTCTGAAGCAAAAAAAGCAAGACATGTCTACCAATAATTTCGGATAACCGGCAAATAATAATTTCTTATTACCAATAAAGAACACCAGCACAACAATTGAAAGGAAAGTTCGTTCTATCATGTTTTGATCACAGTAACGAAAACTATTGCACACGCACACACACACACACATACACATACACACACATATATATATTTAAAATTTCTTACTATCAATTAAAGTAAAATATTATATATATAAACTATTGTGAGTTTGTTTTACGAAGCGGCCGTATGTGTGTAATAGGATCATAATCGGAATGTAAGACTCTATTTTGCATGGCTATTTAATTGAACTAAGCTAAGATTAAATTCTAATTAACAGCTCGTTTAACGCATTTTTTGCTTTTCGTATCGGCAATAAAAGACAGTTTCAGACAGTTTCGATCGCCAAAACTTATTACAAACAACAATTTGAAAATGCTTTGAATATATTTGTAGTATTGTTACGCAACTTACGATCTAATCAAGTGGATTAAAAAAATGCCTTTTTAAATTGATAAGCCGTCGGTAGTTTTTCATTCCAACCGCAGCGAAATATATTGACAATTCGTTTTTAATAGGAATTTCAATCCACTCGCCAGCTAAATACTTTTAATATTTCGTTTTACCTCAAAGACCATAAGTTGCGGTAAATAATTTCGTTTTACGAGAACTGGCTGCAAAAATGTAAGAAACTGGAAAAGGAATAAACGACGCTGAAGCGATAAAGCAATAGATAGGAGACTGGAACATCATGCAGCAACCGTTTTCGTTAGAAAACTGCAACAAACGAAACACAACCACAGTATTTTAAACCAAAATTAAATCAACGTCGTCGTCATTTGCGGAACAATTTTTTGACCAATGTGGGACGATAAGGCAGTGACTAAATTTTACTCCATATATTGCTACTCAGCAATAATAGAGCAACAACAACAGCAACAACAAGAACAAGAACAATATCGACAACGATAACAGCAAAAGTAAGCACAAGTGATATAAATAAGAAGACAAGAAATCTACTACTGCTAGCATATATATCGTACGTAAAGTAAATGGGAGCGTAACAGTGCGAAATGTATATACTAACGCTAAGAAATGGGAATTCTCACTATATATGATTGTATATGAACATGTGAGGGAATGTTCATGATATCTATATATTGTATCTGTATGTGTATGGGAGTGTATGCACATACAATGACAGTGGCTTGCTACACTCCCACTAAAACCTAAATATGCGGTTCTGTAAGGAAACCGTCTGTGCTATAAAGGGTTAGCCACGATGGTGTCAGTTTTGGGGTCGGGTTTTCTTCAGCGCGCAATCATCATCACATACATACAATCACATTCATAAGCATCGTCCTTAACGACGTCGTAACGTCGTAGCATCAGCAACAGTATCGTGGACTAAGAATATACAGCTAACACCACAGAAAGAGAAGTTTATGAGAGTCAATGCATTTTGTACTGATGTTGATATTGCTTTTGTATATTTTTGGTGGGGCAGGTGGTGTCGTCGCAAAATCTCTGCATATGCACATATACAAATATATATACCACCACACTTGTATGCAGTTAAGCTTTTCTATAAACACATACAAACATGTACATAGTTTACTGTGCATATTTTTCTAGCCGCACACAATCACACAATAATCACAAAATGTTTGCTTTCGTGTGCGTGTATGTATATATATATGGGTCGGGAATTAGTATTTCAGTTAAGTAGAACCATGCACATAGATAAATAAATAAATATATATATATATATATATATATATATATATATATATATATAT